TATATAAGTATACATACATATATGTAGTTTAATTGAATTAATATAATTAATACGTTATATATAACGATATTTATTCTTTTTTTAAAATACTATTCTCTGTCTAGGAAGAGTTCTGAACTGTAATTAAAATGAAAACATGCCACAAGACCAGTCAACAATTAGATTTGAAAGTCAAGATAGCATAAAATTTGCCTTTTTGTGCAGGACTAGTTCTTATTATTTATCGAAATACACTGCAAATCATAGCACAAAAATTTGGCGTTTTATAATTTCACTCTTTATCATAGATAAATTTTGCTTTATAATATACACATCGTATAATTACGCGATCTATGCAAACTGGCAGGTGCATAAAATTATCAGTCACAATTATATCCAATCGTTGCATTTTTTAGGCTTTAAAAAATCGTACAACACGGACAACATATTGTTTGCATATCGGACATTCAGACATTTGTTTGCCACAATTTATGCAACAAGCCATATGACCGCATTCCAAAATAACACACTCAATCGGCGCATCCCAGCAGATTTTACACAATTCTTCCTGGCTGAGTTGTTCCACATCTGTAATTTTAATAATTTATTTTATAGTAAATGACAGAACATAATAAAATACATTAAATAATACCAAAACAAGAATATAAATAAACGTTCGAAATTTGTAATGCAAAACAATTCAAAAATCAGCGATCAATGAACGAATAATATAGAGTGTTTTGTTAATATATTAATATAAATTTAACCTGTCAATATAATTATCAATATATAAATTATAATATAAACGTTTCGGTTTCACACAGAGTCTTCTTTTATACCTATAAATATAATCTCTTTGCTGTTTAAAGAATAATCGACATTATATTTAATATGAATATAAATATTATCCATCCAATATGTTACGATATAATATATTTTACCTTTTCTAGACTGATTATATTCCTGCCATAATCTGGTTACTTTGTTCAGTAAATCCGGTCTCTCTATGCAGCCTTTATAATCTACGCGATTTGTACTCAACAAATTTTTTAATTGTTTAATACTTAGATACTCTAATTCTGATGCTTCTTTTATATCTGATAATTGCACCTTATCTGACCACTGCAAATAGAAATAAAATACAATATAAATACTATACAAGTATTTTATAAATGTTATTTACAAGCAAATACACCGTAGGAATCTCTGTGACCATATCCGATTTTTTTTCATTCGACGTTTCGGGAACTTCCTCCTGCTCGATGATTACAGGCTGTGATGCAGTACTGGGCCCAGTTGGACTGCTATCATTCCCAAATATTTCTTCTATTAAAAGGTCAGTATTTTTCGTTGGTCTCTCCTCAGGTGATTCGCTATCACTGCTAAGTGGAACACTAATAACCGGGCTACTATGACTACTTTCACTTGCTTCCTCTGCCATTTCAATGTCCTCGTTTCTTACAGGTTCCGTTGATGCTTCCACGTCCGCCGCATTCGTACCAGGTTCATTATTTGCAGTACTAACATTTGGCATATTTTCCATTCTATTTAAAGGAGGATCAACTCTGGAACTAAATAGTCATATTACTTAAAAAAATATTTTTAAAAGAGGAATATATAATTTGTATAAATTTTATATTAAAATAAAATAAAATAAAGTAAAAAGAGTTTATATTAGGCAAAAAATTTGGCTCTCAAAAAATTCAAGTGTTAAGCCTAATTATACACAATTGAAATGTAATAGGAAATAACAGATTTTATCCTATTAGAAATTATTATAATTTTGATGTAATTGGTAGGTTGAAAGCTGTTATTCTCTGTTCCTACTATCTGTTCTTTTCATTAAGTCTAAACTACCAGTAATTATATACACTACAATGTAAAACGTACTGTTGTTCTTCAGCAACATTTTGCGTCCTGAAGCTACTGTGGTCAGAAGTCAAGCTCGAATCAGTTCCGTTAGCAAAAAGCATTAGTAAATGCACCAAGTCTTCTTTCTCTGAAATTCAAGTATATGTTTCTTGTTAAAAAAAAATTCTTCAAGTTCTTATGAAATTGATATTAAGAAGGTATTATTACAGATAGAGGCATGTTGGCAGGCAGCATTATACATATTAATGCACGTACCGACACAACCCTTAACAGAAACTTTTTTTGCCACAAGATACTGACGCAAGTCCCTAGAGCGTATCTGTCTGATTTGATTTCTGATGAGTGGTCTTATTGACAATAGACCGCAGCTATCGCAGGTGAACACCTTGTCGAATCGTTTAATTACACATTCGGAACAGAAATACCTTAGGCAGTCCACACATTGTTTCTAAAAATTATACAAGGAATATAAATATATGTCAAATATTAAACCAGAATTTCGTAATCAAGAATTATGATAAAGTTCGATCAAATATCAGGCAAATAAATTCCTGGAACCAGATTACTGTGGAGTCCTTAATAAAAAAAATTTCTAGATTACCTAACAGAAGAAGGTCAAATGTTAATTGCTAAATAATTTAGTACGCAGTGAATCTGTGTCATCACTTGGTTCTACGGTGACATTTGCATGACAATTTGAAGGCTCGAATTCATTGTCCGGACAAACATGACTTGTCAAGGTTTGTCGAATTGTCGGATCGCCCTTGGAACCGGTCGTTCAGTGAGGAAGAAGGGCCAGGTGTTCCCGATGAGGGTATCCACTCACTTTTCTCTTAAACAGGTTGAACTTTGCATTGCAGGCCTCGCAAGCCATCTCGGGTCGCCCGTTATCGCCCGTTCGTTTCCTGAAACGTTCTCGTTTTGCGCGCCGTGAGATATCACTGTGTTGAGAGACCGAATGGGAATGACAGGTACTGTACGTTGTATTCTGCATGAAAATCTGGAGCAGCGTAACGTTAACGCCGACGATCGTGATGTAAGAAGGATGAGCTGGACGAGCGTAATCCTTTCAGATCGATAGTATGATGTTGTTATCGGTTCAGTACGATATAAGTTCGTATAAGTCCGAATCAGTCCGAATTACTCCGATTACTTCGAAGTCCGAATAGTCCGACCAGTCCGACTACAAAGGGAAAAAAAACAAAGGTGCCCAATCGGTATGGCAGGAAATGCATTTCTATCTTATCTACATATGACAATAAAGATGCTTTTTCAACGTTCGACGTTTATTTTTGGCTCCGAAATAAGGCTAGTATTCATAGTCAGATCTTATATTCATGACCGTCTTAAATATAGTCTTAAGAAGTGAACCAAACGAACCAATCAAAGGGCCATATTAATATCTTAAGACATTACTTATCTTGAAATAAGAACGGATTATGAACATCGGTCTAGATCAATAAAAAATCAAAATAACTTTGATTCTTAATGTCAATAAATAATTAAATTTTCTAACAAAAATTATCATTTTGATGTCAAATAAAGTCATTTTAACTTTCTTTTGGCTTGATGTATTCCTTGAGGAATTTAAAGTAATAAGTGAGAATATAAATACAAGCACGAGAGTCTCTCCGGTTACCTGGATGGCATTGTGTGATGTAAACGGAAAGTGAACAAAATAGGCTCGACACTTAACGTGTTAATTTAGTCACTTCACAGAACTTAACAAGTCTTATAGATATGATGCAGGTAGTTCTAACACTTCTAACAATGTTCCGCTTATTGTCAACTGCTCACAAGATATTCATAAGGTATCTCTTAGGATCATCTTGTGGTTTATTCTATTATTATACTCATAAACTCTATTGTAATAGTCCTACCCTGTAGGTAGTCCGATATGGATTATTTACAGTTTTATCGACTGAAAACATCCATAATAAATATCCTGTTAGATTTTTATTAGGATTATTATACAATATTATACAATATTTTTGTATGGAAGAGAGAATCATTGAAATGTGTGAAAAGCAGAGAAAGAAAATACATTTCCTAGAAAATACATTTTATTGTAATTATTATTTATATTTTACATTCGCTCGCGCGAGACAACATTTTATAAATAGTTTATTTATACACTTGGCAATGAAGCAGTTTGTACCGGTATTAATATTAAGATACACATCACTATATTTATATTATGGCAGCAAAGTATCGCGTTCCGGAATTCTTGATTATTCGGTACGTGCTGTAATAGTGCCTCATTAGCTATATATACATTACATAGGACATTATTCCCAAAAGTGTCTGCATACCTGATGTAAATCAAAATCTCACAAAGAAACTTAGAATCTTAGAATTTCGAGATTATATTAACCAAGATTATAATTAAGACTTATGTGTGAAAGAAAATAAATTAGATTCATTTCTAACGATAGAGTACTCTAACAAAAATTCATTTATATGTACATATTGCTTGAATTATATAATATATTTATATAAATATTAACATAGAAAATAAATTATGTGCGTGCGCGCGCGCGCGCGCGCGTGTGTGTGTGTGTGTGTGAGAGGAAACTTATTCAAATTTATTCATTCCTATGTGATCACACAAACGCACGAAACCAATATTTTATTGTTTGTCCGTTTTATTGGTTGTCCTCTCTTCGTGATTCTGTACAAACAGTTGTGTCGTATATACATGCAGTTATATGGCTAGATCAAAGTATTCTCACGCTGTACGTACAAAACAACGAAATACTTAAATGATCGTTATATATTTACAACGAGTCATACATTTTACAATGCCGACAACTAGCCAAAACTTTTAACAATTTTTCGTGTTCGGACAGTATATAAATTTAATTTATCACGTTATCATAATCACGGTAATGGTAATCCCTTTGTCACACAGCCCGCCCTGTTATCTGTTTAGCAGACTCCTTTTACAAAAATCTATTTTTTTCTATGTCTCGGAAGATATTTACAGCATTTAATTAGCAATAATTATAATTTCGGATTTATATAATTAGTAAATAAAGTAGTATTTTTTCTTACGCAATGAGTTTAGATAATTACGGATTGAACAAAGATGCAATTAATTTCAATAATGAGAACAAGTCGACTCTCCTTCGTTCTTTAAGATAGGGTTCTAATTTTACTTCAATTTAATTTGTAGAAAATCTGGGGAAAAAAGGCCGTGTGCGGACCATTGAGAACAATTATTGTACAACTACATACAGTGATTACAAAACTACATGGGATGTATGGTATCCTTCGTGTTCTGCCCTGATATCCTCGTAAGGGGCTCTTCATCAAGATCATTGGAGATTTGATTCCAATGTTCGTCTTCCTCATTCTCCTCGTCGTGCAACGAATCTTTCCTGAAGAGTATAGTTACAGTTTTTTATATTAAAATACACGTCACTATTTTAATGTAATGAAAATTAAAAGCAAGAAGAAATTAGAAAAAAAATAGCTTTTTATTCAGAAAAAGATTTCTTCCAAAAATTCAATTCAAAAACAATATTTCTTTGCTATGCAGTTAAAGAAAACATTTCTTTGATCTGAACGTACGTCATTTCTTTTACAAACATGATATGCAAATCATATGCAATACATATATAGTAATTCAAGATTGAATTATTTTAAACATTAAAAAATCCAGCTTTGACCATTACAAATCTTTAATTTCTAGTATTGATTGTATTTTCACGTATATGGTCTAAAATAAAGTTTCTTAATATTGTCATTTCTTGGATTTGAATTCATGATTTCATTTTTTGGAATCAAATAAAAAAATTTATTTAATTTTAGAAAATATTTAAATCAAAGAAATAACATTCAAATCGAAGAAATGTTTTCTTTAACTTTCTATAACAAAGACTTTATTTATTTGAATCGAAGAAACTTACTCTGGGTGTTCGAAAAATATTTTAATTAAAGTGAAGACTAATGTAATTATTTAAATTCTCTTTCTCACGAAAATTCCTATAAGTTACATCGGGGAATTCTGGGAATTTTTCAAAGTTATCAGTTTTTTAGATCTAATCGAAGAATAGATGATTGTATAATATTAAGAATTATATTACTAACTGATATTTGTTGTTGGATGGCAGAAATAAGGATTTTGGACAGTCCTTGAAGTAGGGCCAGCACTCGCCGTGAAATTTCCCACGGTTTTCTGCTTCGACGTATTCCTTGAGGAGATTTGCAAATGGCGATCGGCTAGCGCTAAAAACAATGCCTAGATTTAATTCAACATTATTTTATGTGACTCTAAAATATGCTTATTATGACTTTATTCTCTAAATTATTTGGAATCTCACACTCTAAACAATAAAATTGTTTTGAAAAAAATAAAGAAAATTTTAATTATTTTTAAGAGTAAAATTTCATTCTTCAGAATGACAATAATTCATTTTAAAAGTTTTAGAGTAGATTTTACTCCGCAAACACAATAGAGTGATATTCCACTCTGAGACCTCCACTCTGAGAAAATCATATTTTATTACTACTACCTTATTTTAGGACTTGATTATTAAAAAACTATATATAATACAAAAAAAATCTTTATATCGATTTTTGTTACTCTTATCTTAGTACATAATTATTTATAATAATTATATTCCTGATAAGCAAAAAAGCGACACTATAGCACGTCTTTTGCAGGCCTGCGCGTGATAAAAGCATTCACGGTAGACAGCAGAACGGATCCAAAATATGCTGTATCAAAAATTTGATTAATTTCCATTAAATTTACTAGAGAAATACCTATCCGATCAAAAAAATATTTAAAAATGTGAAAATGGTGCATGCGTGAAAAAAGAAGTTCAATATTTTTACTTAAAAATTCAATATAAAAATATGAATTATAAAAAAAAAGTATATAAGTTATTGCGAAAATCACAGATATTTTTTTAGATAATTCAATTGACAATAACTAAGCCAAATTTCAAAGCATTCGGATTGATTTTATGATAGTTCTAGTGTCCACCGTTTTTGAAAAACACCATTCCAAGAAAAACGCAATTAAAGTTTCAATAACAATCTCTTTTCATCGCACATGGACGCACTGATTTCTAATCGAAACCAATATAATCTATATTAAAATTATATATCAAAGTTATCTATAGATAAATAACATCAAATAATAATTGATATTCAGATAAATGGAACAGTCATTGGCAATGTAGAGCGATTGTTGTGTTTGAGATAATTAACTATATCTTCGTTAATATTGGGAATTTCACTTTCGGATAACAAATTTTCGATTTTTTAAAAGTTCCAGTGGAATAACTCTTTAAGCTTTAAGAAATTGACCAATCATAGTTGATTATTCTTTTCACATGATTGATCTATTTCTTAAGGCTTGAGACTACGCAATTGTGTTTGCGGAAACACTTATGAAACAGAATTACTCAGAACTACACTAAAAAAAAGAAGTGTTTAACTTTAAAATATTAAAATATTTTATTCTTGTCTCTATTTTTTAAGCATTTAAAAATGTTTTAGTTTTAAACTTTTTCAATAGACAAAACATCTTTGAGTATTTAAAAAATGAGGACAAGAATAAAACATATTTTTTTTACAGTATACTCCATTCTACTCTTCAGAGGCTCCTTACTGTAGTTTTATGATTCAGACTACTTACGTAAAGAACAGCTTCAACATCTCGCCGATAAGCCCGAAGTTATTCAGATGATGTCCCTGGACTTCGCAAATTGCTCTCAATAGGCATGCCTTCCCGTTCATTCCCAACGTGGACAGCATATCCTCGGCAGTGACATAGAGTAGGGCTCGCTCGCCACCGTGGAATGCATTTTTTGGCACATCTGTTATGTCTCGCTTGTGTAATCTACGCTTGATAAATGCTGCGATGAAATCAGCCATCATCATGCCGGCCTGCCGGCTTTTCAGCTTTCTGTCGAAACTCGGCGGCAGAGCGCCGTATGGGTTTTCGTTATCCGTCAGGCCCAGCTTGTCAAAATCGACTGGGAAAAAGACACATAATTCTAGCATCACGATTTTCTTTAAGTGAATCACAAATCCACGTGACTCTCCAGCAAACAAGTTGACGTTACTTATAATCATTTTGACATCTTCAACATAAAATGACATAAAATAACGTCAGTTTGTTTGCTAGCTTATCCATGTGGCGGATGGACTCACTCGTGAATGGCAGGCTGATGGTCATATTGCTGAGGAAGCCGTAAGGAGGATGTCGAACAAAGGGCAACGCCAATGTTGGCGTGATCGTCATGACGGTGCCGGGTGGCAATGCGATCCGTCCATCGTTCGTGAACCATAAGACCCTCTTCTGTCTGTGATGCGGTGCCTGGCGAGAAGATTCGCTCTCGTGAGCGGTATCGCTAAATGTAGATGATGACTCTCTCAGCACGGCCAAACCGAGCAGCAGCAGTAGAAGACATCCTCTTTGAGACATTCTGCGCTATTTGAGTTGCCGTAACGAGAACCTATTAGGAGTGTATACTGTCACATAAATTCTATTTCTATCAATATAATATAAAGTCTATTTATTAGCAATACACTGAAAAAAGAAGTGTTTAATTTTAAGATATTAAAATGTTTTATTCTTGTCTCCATTTAAACACTTAAAAATGTTTTGTCTATTGAAAAAGTTCAAAACTAAAATATCTTTAAGTGTTTAAAAAATAGAAAACAAAAATAAAACACATTTCTTTTAACATATAATAGATTAACTTTTATTTTGATTTCAGGTTCTAGCTATTCATTATGGATCTTTACATTGATGATATCAAAAGTGAAAAAATATATTATGAAAATTCTTGCAAAAAAATTTGTTACTCTCGCGTGCATCTCTCGGAGAAACGATTCACCGTCACCAAAGGAAGGGGCTAAATACTCGGCTAAATAAATACCAAGAGGCGGTATTGACTGTGGACCGTAAATCAAATTAATCGTTTTATTTGCGAATGAAACTTGCAAAGTGGCGTATAATAATTCTCATATCTCTCGATGGCCCAGCGGTACTTCAAGTAGGATGATAGACCTCAGTGAAATTATTTGCGATAAATCCCACGATGGGATACGTACTATATATCGCAGTCACGAGACTTACGGTACCTGCAGTGTGTTTACTTCGAGTCGGGTGTCAAGGAAAAACTTTTCTGCGACAGGTATCGCCGATGAATTTTGTCGTCTACCTTGTTGTCGTCGTCATCAGTGACTTACATCCTGTTTGCGCAAGAACAGACGAGGCACGTGCGAGAGAATTTTCTTTTGATTAATATTCGGGATGGGTAGTGTGCCTCATGCTGTCCAATTCGATCAATTAGAAACTTAATTTGTGGGTAAGGAGGATAAAGCGCCTCTTAGAAAAGATAACTGTGCTCCCTCGTCGCGCAATAACGCTAAATGTTCATTTATCATGTCGCATGTTGCTGAAAATTCGCATCTAAGAATTATTTGTCGAGGCGCGTCGTAAATTAATAAAGTCGGAGTGTCTTCGTGAAGCCGAGGCTTGGAAATCCGAGGGAATAGAATCCGGAGAAAATTCCGTGCTCGCGAGATTTTCGCTTCATTATTCATGCTATTACGTTTCTATTACGTGGTCGGCACTCGAGAATAACAAGCGCACGCACACGTGGCGAGATTAATAAGTGGGATACTGCTTTAATTGCGACGGATGCATCGTGGAACGTATGTTGATTGTTATCGCGAGCTTCGTGTCGGTACGTATTTCTTCTTCCCTTTATATTGAACTGCGTGACAACGCGCAATGGCACGTCGTCGCCGTTGTCTTACCGGTCATTACGGTTACCGGGACATTACGTGTATGTGTCGAGTTTATTAGGCTTTGGCCATTCGACCGGCCTCCCTATATCGGGGAGCTCCCTGGTATGTAACAGTATATAAACTGCAAAACAACATGATTAAGGGGAATCACGTGTGCCCTAGAAAAATGCAAGTCGTACGCGTGTTTGCCCGTATATCGTCCGCGTATCTCATTGCATCGTATTCGTTTCTTGCGAAGCAGAAGACGTTACTCATCTCGCAGATCTCGATATATTGGGTTGTCCGGAAAGTTCGTGCCGCAAAAGATTTAAATTTAATAAATGTATACTAAAATTTAAATCTTCTGTGTTTAAATTTTCCTTCAAAATCGACACGAACTTTCCGGACAACTCAATATATTTGATATCCTATTCTCTCTCTCTCTCTCTCTCTTTCTCTCTCTCTCTCTCTCTCTCTCTCTCTCTCTCTCCCTTCCCTCTCCATTCATCCACCCCCCTCCCTCCCTCCCTTTCTCTCTCTTCCTCTCTTTCTCTGATTTCATATATTTGAAATCATACTTTCTAAAACTTTTTTTAGAGTGAGTATCATTTTAAAGAATGAAATTTCATTCTTAAAGATTAGAAATTGAGCCATTCTTTTTTAAGACTAACTCAATTTTCACTTTTTAGAGTGAGATTCCATTTTAAAGAATTTAGAGAATTTAGTTATTATTACATTTAATTATTATTAACATGTAGTTATTATTAATAGTAATATAGCAGCTAATTATAATTGTGATAATATGAAATTATAGTCACAAATACTAAACTTTTCTCAGGGTAACAGAGTTTGCATGTTCATTGTTAAATATCGAAAAAGCAATGGTTCTAGAAATAATAAAATGCATTATTAAAACACATTGTTTCATTAGTTAATAGTCTATGCATTAACTCAATAATCGAATTCGTTATGTGTATTTAAAAAAATGTTTTAATGGGGAATGTTATGATTATTCAATATGCTTTTTGTTTTTTATTTCTTGTTTTTTGCTGTTTTTTACGTTTCTTGTCTTTTTGCTTTTAATCTGGTTTTTATGTCACTCAAGATAAAAGTTACGAGTGAATTTCGGAAGAAACAGGAAACATATAGCAAGAAATACAATTATCAATAAAACGATCGTAAAGGAAGAAAAGCAAAAAGTAAAAAAAACAAGAAACAAAGACTATATATATTGTAGAAGGCTTTAGGGTAACCTAATCCTTTGTGTTAAATAATTTTTATTTTTAATTTCCATCTATGTCAAAATGCACTGAAAAAATTCTTCCAATGAGCGTGTTCATAGATTCAATAAATTTCATTAGATGTGTGTTAAATTTTATAGAAGTGATAACATGCATTTATCATATTAACGCACATTGTTTCATTAGTTAATAAAGTTTGTACATTAGATCAATAATCGAATTCGTTATATGTATTTAAAAAATTAAAAAAATGTTTTAAGAAGGAATGTTACGATAATATGTAATTGTGTCAATACATATTCATTGTTACAATGAATTCTAATAATAGTTTTATAACTCATATTTATCCTTTTATACAACTTAAATCATTATGAGAATAAAATTGTTTATTGGACAAATTTTAATGAATTTTTTATTGTATTTATTACATTGTATTTATTACATTTTATTATATTTATACATTTTTGATTCAGTGTGTAAATCAATCCATTTCTACTTAATTTCAAAGTAAACAACATCTAAAAGTAATATATGATATAACATTTGCATTTAGCTAATAATAAACTAAATTTGAGTCAAATTTAATACGTTTTCTTAAATTCTGAATTATTTCAATTCATTGTTTTTGTTAAATTAATGAATATAGGAGCAGTGGCAATCTGCAGAAATGATTAAAAGTAACTCGAATTGAGTAATTGACGTTATAAATTTAAGTGTTTAATTAATCATCCTAAAAAAAGAGATAGAAGAATAACATTTCTGTGCTCGTAGCTCGTATTCATCGCTCTCTTATCATCCTCGCTAAATCAGCAGAAACGCAAAAAACATCGACTCGATCTAGATTAGCTGGCCCACATTGTTTAATATAATCCGATGGCGAGAGTTAAAGTTTGGCGAGCGGAAGAGAGTTGGGCCAACCGCTAAGCGCATCGTGCGGAATACGAAATATGATTGACCCCCATATTTCAATATGTGCGCCGTGTCGGTTGATCGGACGACGCGTCTTAAATTAAACCACCCGAGTAATCAGATACCGGTACCTGATATCGGCTGCGTGTTTTTGATGAGGCACCGTTAACTATATCGCTCGTAAAAAACCGGGTCAATTTTAAGATCTGGTTCCTGCAGACAATCTGAGAGGCGACCGTATTCGCGATCGGGTGTAACCCGATTTTCTTTTTCGGGGTTTTTTTCGTGTTGTAACAGGATTCGATAATAATATTAGCCGACCGCCAAGTACTGATGATATGGAATTGAGAAGTCGATAATTGGTTGAGAAAATACTCATGCGAACGGAATTCTAATTATCAATTCTTGATGTTTTACAATAAGAATTACCTTTCTAAAAGATACACATTATAGGAAGTTTTATCGCTACACTGGAAAAGAAATCTATAGTTGCATTTAATTGGTATTTTGATTTGTCCATTTTTAATCAGAATTCCAATTAACGTAATCAGACTCTTTGAATTGATTATCTCAACTAAAATTATAATTTATATTCTGATTGAAATAACTAGAATTCTGATTATATATGATGTGATCAGAATTTCAGATTCAGATTTTCTGATTTGTTTTTAACCAAGATTTTTTTCCATATATGCAATAATTGAATATATAATGATTTTATCGCGTCTTTTTTGTCAACTCTTCTCATACGAATCGAATTCTTATATTATTATAAAACATCGAGGATATTTCTGAAAGATATACATTGGATATAATAAATTCTATCACTATTAAATAATTGTATGTTCCTTAATTTTTTTGAACGAGATAATATTCATCCTTCGTATTTAATTCGAAAAATTCTCCCTTAGATCGATCTTCTTAGGTCTAACATCTAAAATTCGAATAAATAAAGTCGAATTTCAGCGAGCCGATGTCAACGATAAACGTAATACGTAACAGTTTCACATCGAACGCAGTGGCAACCGAGACGCATTGCACCTGATCTTATATGCAATGTAGAGATGAACATTTTATGTTCCTTCACATCAAAATGCAGCAAATTCCTGACCTAGTGCCTTCTATACTCGCACTTAACGGTATAGTATCGTTATGATGCACTTTAAAGAATCGCGCTCCCGATGATTTTCGCAAGGCAAAAAAGGAAAGGAGAAGAGAGATGCGGAAGGAATAATTATCCCAAAACGTAATGAACGTGAAAGAACGCGAAGAAGCGTTTTGTTTATTGAACACGATGTTGTGGGTATCGTTGTTAATCATAATCGAGGTATTGGTGGATTCAAGAAGGAAGGAATCAAGAAGGAAGGAATCAAGAAGGAAGGAATCAAGAAGGAAGTCGAGTCATTGACGCACCGGAAGCCAAACTTTTTAAAAATCAAATATGAAAAAAAAATATAATTTAAATTATTAATGATATTACAATTGAATATATATTACATGTATAATTCTTAAACCATTTTATTTAAAATTATATTAGTATGAAAAAAAGAATAATATAATTGAATCTA